TAACTGAGGCTAAGATAAAGCTCAAAGATAGGCTATATACTGTGAACTAGAAACTTCAGCTGTTTCTTTTCTTTAGATGTGAAAATATATATCTCTCTTTCTTTCTCTCTCTCTCTCTCTCTTTCTTAAGAATTGGAGCTGAAATGTATTTTTTGGAAAAAAAAATGTAAATGGAAGAAAAACAGTTGTTAGAAGGAATAAATGCCTATACAGCTGAAGCCTTGCTGGAGGAATTCACAATCTTCTTATGAAGTTTTAAAACTCTTTCATTGTTCTTTTATTTCATTTTTGGGTTCTTAACATGTAATATTTCACAATATTTAGAAAAACTTGCCAATTGCCATTAAATAAACGGATCACACTGATAAGGAATAAAGTGCTCTTTTTAGCCATTGCAGAGATAACATGTTATGATAACAAGCTCATAGTAACCATCCCATGTAATGTCATTGTCTTAGGATTTTCAAACACTGGCGAGACTGAGTTCAATATGAATTTTAAGTCTGTTTGGAGAATATACATTATATTTTTAAGTGTTTTTTCTTTATGTTCAGAATTTACTGGAGTAGAAACATGGGTCTTCTGACTAGACTGGCCCTACAAGTCTGCCAGAAACAGCAGTTTAGCTACCTCCTTCCTATTTTAATGGGGTCTGGCTATCCTTTGACTGACTATAGATCAGAAGATCCCAGAGCATGGGCTTATCTAAGAGCTATGTGAAGTGTCACTATCCTGGCTCTACCTTATGTCTTAGGCAGCTTGACCCCCAGGTCGGCCCTAAGGTTAAAGCGTCCTAGAGTCGAGCACATTCCACAAAACTGTACGAGATAAACTCTTTCGTAAGCTTACACCACTTCCCAGATGTCTGAAGAACTCCAAGAAACTGAAATAAATATTAGGGTTGATTACCACTTTGAAGAGGCAGTTTTCCTCCTCTCATTTCACTACCAAATTCATAGTGTTCCCAAAATATTTGTATGCCAGGATTAACTACTGGAACTGACCCTTAAATTTAATTGACTATATAATATTGGTGAGAGCACAAATTATTGGCAGAACCTTTTCACAGTCTTGATGGTCAACACTTTCAAATTTTGGTCCAGCAATTCCTTTTCTACATGTTTAGGCTAATAATCACATGCATAATGATATTAATGGTCAAAAAATAAACTAGAAAGAACTGAGGCCATGCACAGTGACTCACACCTGTAATGCTAGAACTTTGGGAGGCCAAGGCAGGCAGAATGCTTGAGCCCAGTAGTTCAAGGTCAGCCTGGGCAACATGGCAAAACCCTGTCTCTACAAAAAATACACAAATTAATTGGGCATGGTGGTGGGTACCTGTAGTCCTAGCTACCCAGGAGGTGAGTGGGAGGATCACCTGAGCCTAGAAGGTCAAGGCTGTGATAAGCTGTGATTTGTGCCACTGCACTCTAGGCTGGATGACAGAGTGAGACCCTCTGTCAATAAAAGAATAATAAAATAGGCCGGGCGCGGTGGCTCAAGCCTGTAATCCCAGCACTTTGGGAGGCCGAGG